GATCTCCGAGATTTAAAACTACTTCCTGACCCTCACCTCTCCTTTCCCCCGCCTCATCCTTCCCGTTCCCGCCCCACTGCCTCATCTCCCACTCTACCAGTTGCCGTAAATCGACACCGAGTGCGGGCCGAACCAAACCGAAATTTAGTGGTTGCCTTTTGGTAGTTGCTTTATTTCAGGGGCATTTGATGGGCCGGTAGTTCATTGATTGCTTTGTGGAAGGTTTCAGCGCATGGGAGTCATCGTCGTCCGTCAAGCTCTCGAAAGAGATGGGGTGAGAGAAGAGGGGGAGGGGGGCGTAAGCCGAGTTCTGCCTCTTCGATTCTGCTTCTCAGCCACCGTTCGTTTGCGCGTTTTAGTGGTGCTTCGGCCAGATGTCCGGTGCAAGTCTAGCGCAGGCCACCCTTTTTCGGTGCCTGCCCTGGGCATCCCTTCTTGGCTTCTGTCCATTCCGCATATCCCGTGCATCGCTTTTTCAGCGCGCCCCGCACTCTCATTTCTTGGCCTCTGTTGCCTCGGCGTCCCTATCTTTACACTTCGCATCTCACCCACCTCGCCCAACGCCTGCCAGTGAGTTTTGCGGTAAAATTTGGCGCGTTCGATTTGAGGGCGTAAATTTCTTTGCGGCTGTTGCTCGATGCATTTCTCACTTTTTGCACAAATGGCACTGCTGCTGAATGAGACGGCTTTAGCTTACTTCTCGAACAAATTCTCGGAAGTGCACTGCCAGAGGCGGGGGAGAATATCTCGGGACTGCATTGCCACAGGGGGGAGTGGGGGAGGGGGAGTGATATCGTCTGTTGGGTAGCTTTCGGGTGCCTCCATACGGCCCAGTGAATTGTGGAATGGTACTGAATTTGACCGAAGCCAATGATGTTCTCTTTCTCCTACATCCGATCAGAAATGGGGATTTCCCCGTCCCCTTCCTCACTGCTTTCGACATTTCTCGTTCTGAGAGATGTTGTGGGCTCAGAAAGAACATATGCATGCAGTAGCTGGGGTTCTAGATCCGTTAGTTGCTTGCGAGCAAGCTGTTGGCGGTTTTGACATCCTGGCTTGTACCAGTGCATCAATTTCCCATCGAACGAATGAACGAATCGTAG